GACCAAACCTATGAACGTGGGGTATTGAAGAGGGAGTGATGTCCACATTAAAGACATAGAAAACCCAGTCAATGAAATTATGGCAGAGCATTTCTCAAACCTAGGGATTTGTTAAGTACAGTAGACATTTAGAACCCCAAATAGACACGGCCAGAAAAGAACCTTTGCCCTTCATATTATAGTTATAATGCTAAGATTACAGAATAAAGAAAGAATACCGAAAACTGCAGGAAAATAACTGATAAGTTATTCCTATCAGAATAACAGCAGACTTCTCAGCAGAAACCTAAAGGCCAGGACAACATGGACTGATGCATTTCAAGCATTGAAATAAGATAACTGCCAATCAAGAATACTATGTCCAGCAAAGTTATACTTTAAAATTGAAGGAGAAATAAAGGACCTTTCATGACAAACATTAACGACAGCAATTCATGACACTAGGCCAGCATTGCAGAATTTACATAAGGAAATACTGTGCAGAAATAGAAGAATATAAACCCAGGCATGAAAGCTCACAGAAGAATAAATCTCACTAGAAGAACTGATGAAAAAGTGATTATTAGGAAAGAAGCAAACATTATTTAACTTATTAACCCAGCAAACCTCTAAGATAAAGAAGGAAGACATTAGTACAAACTTTTCAGTAATCATCCTAAATATAAATGTTCTTAACTCTTCAATTAAACAGCACAGACTAGCTGAATGAATTAAAACAGAACAGAACAAAACAAACCAAGATTCAACTGTTTGCTATCTGTAAGAAACTGCCCTCACTGGCAAAGAGTGATAGCTTGAAAGTGAAAAGAAAAAAATGATATCCAAGCAAATGAAACCCAAAAGCAAACAGGAGCATCTATATTCAAATCTTATATAGCAGACTTCAAGCCAAAATTAGTCAGAAGTGATAAAGAAGGTCACTTTATATTAATAAAGGAGACAATGCATCAAGATGAATCTCAAAAGATTTTTTAGTCTTCAGGGAAATCAAATCAAAACTACACTGGGATTCCAAATTACCCCACTTAGAATGCTTTCATCAAAAAATAAACAACAAATAGTGGCAAGGATGTAGTTGGAAAAGGAAGGATTATATATTTTTGGTGGGAATATAAATTAAAATAGCCACTATGGAAATAGACATGGAGGGTCCTGAAAAAAAACAAACTAAAAATAGAACTACCCTATGGTCCTATTTTACCACTTCTGAGCATATATACAAAGGAATCAAAGTAGAGATATCTCCATATCCATGTTTTCCATGGTACTGTTCACAATAACCAAGTTATAGAATCAGTCTGGGTGCCCTTCAATGGATGAGTGACCTAAGAAAATATGATAGATGGTAGATAGATAGATAGATAGATAGATAGATATACAGTGAATTCTTGTTTGGCCATAAAGAATAAAATTATGTCATTTGCAAGATATGCATGGAATTTGAAATCATCAAATTAAGTGAATTAGTTCAACAAAATTCGTTTAGAAATTATAAATGGAATCTAGATTTTAAAAGGACATGAAAGTGGAAGGATACCAGCGGGAGGGGTAGGAGGCAAGAAAGGGTAATGGGGAATGAATATTATCAAAGTACATTATGTAAAAATGTCATAATGAAACCCATTATTTTGCACAATTAATACATACCATAAAAACTCAAAAAAATCCTTTGATCAGTTGTATGTACCACTTATAACATGCACCTCAAAATAACAACTATTTAGAATTAAACAGTTTGAAAATGAAGAAATAAGCAGCATCTTAGTTAAATAAATATGCAACATCATATTTCATAGGTTACATAAATTCTTCTAATCCTTCATGTCTATTACTAGAAGGGATATCCTTATAAAATCATATTTTGATCTCAGAGATGAAATCCACTTGGTTTCCATTCTTTGTCCTGCCATCACTATTGCATAACAGAAATCATTAGAATAGGATGGAGGATGTGTGTGATCCTGAATAGATCCTTAAACAGAAGTTTAAGAGTGAGCAGCAAAGTAACTTTTAGTGATGACTATGCAGTCAGTGCTTTGGGCAGAACTCTGCCTGCACTCCAGTAATCTACTGGACTTCCTTGTTATGTGCTTATTACTAGAATATGTTCGTAACAATTTAGAAAATTATCATAATTAAGAGTTCAGATGTTTGCACAGGGTGGTTTCAGGTTCGAGTAGGACATTTTATTTTACAGCTTTGTGACCTGAGGCAAGATCATGTTTACAAATACAAGCAATTTAGTGAAAAGCAGATCACACTAAGGGGAGGTCACTCACAGGAGAGGGAAAGCTTAAGTTAAGGAGGTGAACATGGTTGTACTTTCTATACAAGGATGAATGTAGATTTTTTTTAAACCTGTTGAACTCACCATAAGAAGGGAACTAAGGTAGAAAGGAGAAAAATAGAGGGGATGAACCAGTTCAGGCTATAATACATATGTACATGGAAATGTCACAAGGAAACTCCCTGTATTATCTTAAACAAACAAAAAATGTCTTTTTAAAAAAATGGAGAACAGGAAGGCAAAACAGTTCCTGTCTGGGCGTTGGCACCAGTGGGAGAAGGGAGGTTATAAGGAAAGGGTGTAGGAGCGTGAATATGGTGTAAATACTGTGCACTCATGTATGAAAATGGAAAAATGAGACCTGTTGAAAATATTCCAGAAATGGGGGAGAGGAATAAAGGAGAATGACATGAGGGTGAATTCAACTATGATATATTGTAAGATTTTTTTTAAATGTCACAATGTACCCCCAAGTACAGCAATAATAAAAAAGTAAATAAAGATCATATTCTGCTTCTCAGCCTCAGTTTCTTTTATAAAACAAGTTTATAAAAATATGGTATAGCATAGGATAGCATAATACAACATAATATAGTATAATTCAATCAATATAGTATCGTAATAGCATAGTGTTTTATGCAGTATAGCATAGTATAGCACTGGGTGTGTGCTGGTGATCAGATGAGGGATGCACATAAAACTTTTAGAACATGACTGGTAAATAATAAGAGTTCAGTAAATAGTAGATGTTTTTCTAAAGCAATAATTGGGATATGCAAAAATATTTCATTGTCTTTGGGCAAGAAGAAGAATGTGAAAACATATTGCAGAGAACTTGGGAAGTGAAATGTGGGGAGTGGGTAACTTTAGTAAGGAAATATACTATTCTCCCTTTTGATTATTATTACACCCATTCTGTTCCAAGCATCATAGAACAAAATTTGTTATGCTTGCCAATCAGAACATTTTAGTAATTACACAACCAATTCACCGAGGTGAAATAACTTTGCCAAAAGCAACACTAGTAAACAGAAAAATTCAAGCTTAGGTCCCAGCTCTTGTCAGTAGCAAATCCTATTTTACTTCCAGTACACCTCACCAGCCCTGCAATTGAGGATTTACTCAGATAAAGATCCATCAGAAGATATTGGGGCTTCCTTTCACTGGTATGGGCTGAATCAGGGAGAAAGTGCTCTGGGGACAGACCTACAACAGGGAGGTTGCAGGGATGATGGTGGGTTATCTAATGTCAGGACAGTGTGACCTGACTGATGCGGACCTACAAATGTTGGTAGTGGACTGATCTTTACAGAACTTGCAACCAGCCTTAAAAATGGCATCATACTCAGAAAAAAGACAAATAGATTAAAAGTGAATAGATTTTTTTCAGGGTTCAAAGAGTCAACCTGAGTTTAGCTTTGGCGTGTTTGGACCACACTGGACTCTGTTGGGTACAGTCTGAGCAAAGATCATATGTAGACTTTAGGTATCTAAGAAACCATGATGATAAAGCAGGGGGAAGTCCTGGGAGAATTTGCAAGTGGAGTTTTGTCAGAGTTCATCATTCTTACACAAATAGGTTGTACTAATAGTTTACTTACTACTTGTAACAGTTAAAGGAAAGAACAGATTGGGGAGAGGCAGTACAGGATAGAGTACATTGTAGAGGTAATTAACATAGAGGTCCTGATGTTAGATTCCAAGTCAGGTTCTTCATTGTTGGCTACTTTGGGGCTGCCCTTAAGAGCATTTGAGACCCCAGGTAAATATTTTTTGTAGTTCCTCTTGCAGTACATATAATTTCACTTAAATAAAATCAGTGGGTCAGAATTACTCAGGTGAATCTCACATAATCCCAAGAAATAGGGGCTACGTGGGCTAAGGGGAGTAATTTCATTGTTAGCCACTGTCCCTCTCTGTAACCCTTGGTTGAGCCCCATAGGACAAATTAACTACCTGATTAATTCCATGCAGGGTAGAATGTCAGAAGTTGCCTTAAAGGGAAAAAATGGGAATCAGAGGCCCTTGTGTACTCCAGAGACAAGACAACCAGCTATCTCCCAGCATCCAGTGGAAATTTGAAAAGCTTTGAGGAAGATGCTTCAAAGTGCAAAAATCAGTAAGGGGGAGACTTCAGGTCGGGAATGTTCTTGCATGGGACTAAAAGTGTTACTGAGCTGCTGCATCATACAACTCTTGTGAAGAATTAATTAGGTAATAAATGAAGCTCGCTTAGATATTTCCTTGCTGGTAATCAGGAGTCAATCAGTGCAAAATATCTCATGTTATCCATGAGCATTCACAAGACACATCAACTAAATTAGCCTCTATAGAGACTCCAGTTAGGCTATTGTGTTTTTACTTGTATTTACAGGGATAAAAGTAAAACATGGCATGATATATGGTGTTGAGTAGAACGTACAGGTAAGTGAGTTCTTTTCTTATCAATCTGACACTGGTCTTGTAGTAGTAACCACTCTGTCTTCATTTCCTCTTCCTAAGATGAGAAAATGGAAGGGTGACACACAAGACAATAAGTTGTGCTACTAAGAAAGGAGTGGTTGTCTTTAGGTAGTGTAAAATTGTATGATGGTAATTTGGCAGAACACACATTCCCTTTGCTGCCCCAGCCTCACATTAAAATAACTTGTCACGTGAATGAGTCTCTCCCATCTTTTGGTGTTCTCTCATGTGATGCTTTCTTGTCTTTTCAGATCCCCCAGATTAGTTATGCATCAACGGCACCAGAGCTCAGTGATGACCGACGCTATGACTTCTTCTCTCGTGTGGTCCCACCTGATTCCTTCCAAGCCCAGGCCATGGTAGACATTGTAAAGGCTCTAGGATGGAATTATGTGTCTACTCTTGCATCTGAAGGAAGTTATGGAGAGAAAGGTGTGGAATCCTTCACACAGATTTCCAAAGAGGCAGGTAGGAAGAGATTGCAATCACCAAGTTGACTTTCTTGTAGGGTTCTCTTGAGGCATTTTTAAGGAAGCACTGCAGATAATCACCCTATCCCTCTCTCACCTTCTTTATATCTTATGAAGTACATCTGTAAAGTCTTCATTTGTAACATGTTGTTATTTTTGGAGAGATTTACAAAGGTGTGAAACTGAAATCCCTTAAGTACTGGCAGAAGAAAAAGAGAAAAACATATGTAGTAAAATTGGTATCTTATTTCTACCTGACAGATAATCAGGGACTCCTGTCTGCAGATGGAAACATGAGAAAATAGAGCTAGATGTGCCTCTCCATGAATGCTTTCTGTCTTGGCTCTCTTTAGAAGTATGTGAGCCCATCATGTGCCATTCTCATTTCTAGAACATTAGCAGTAATGCCTTGAAATGACTTCCTCAAAATAAAATAATCAACCAGGCAGTAGCATGTATTTAGACAAATAGTTTTTCAAACTTTAGACTATTTTAGAAATGACAGTTTCTATTTAATAGTACTTAGAAAAGATTTCTTAATTTTTTTATTCAGCTCAAACTAGAAATAATGGGTTCAAGTGTTTGGCCAGCTGTCTTCCATTGGGCAGAATTTGAAAAATGAGACAAAATTCCCACATTTAGGAATTTTGACCATAAATATTTATTTAGGTTTCCCCATATGGAAATATTGGAATATACTAAAATATATATGGGGGGGGGTTAGAAATTCCTATATAATTCTTATTCTAAAAGAAGACACTCAATTTTGTTTGTAAAAATTTTATCCAATTAAAATTTTTATTGACTGGTACAGTTAACTGATAGCAAAAGCAAGCAGTCAAAGGGAATAGAAACTGAAGTCCATATCATGGGGAAAGATTTCATGAACCTCGAAGGCAGAGCTTTGAGTATTTGGTTCTCACATGACAGATATACTCAGATATGCAATGTTTCTGGATACAGTTCACATATCTGCATGTGGCTACTGGAAGCACCTAAGGCTTGCTATAAATCTTATGTTTTTATCTCAGTGCACTGTCACTAGCTATAATTTCAAATGTCCATGGTGAGCTCAGTCATTCTTATGAGCTTCCCTCTGACTGAAATACTTGTATTTTTAGCATCATTGTCTAGGTAACTCCTAATTATTGACAAATGCCATCCTAAGCATCATTCCTAAGTTCAAACACACTTAGAACCCCTTCCTTGGTTGTGTTGGCTTGGCCTTACGTTTCTACTGTCTTCACTAGCACCTCTAATCACAGGTTAATGTACTTCCTTCTTTGTCTTTATTCTTATCTTGTCCCCAAGACTCAAAGAGGAGATCAGGTCTGTCTCACTCACTACTGTGGCTCCAACTACTACATTCCTAAGGAAAATATGCCTAGTCTAATTCAGTTAGAATTAAACTGTGATTAGGAAAGAAATCTTAACTTTGGCCTTGTGGTATGCTATGATTTATAGGATTCATTAACAGTTGACTTCATGAGTCACCAAAGTGATACGTAATCATTTTAAATGAGTTTTTTATTTCTTTCTTTGCTTCTTTGAATTCTGCTTTGATCAAAATAAGGCTGGAGGCTGACATAGAGAAATATCTAAAATATCAGGAAGGAAACAAATAAGACAAGATTAAGAGAAAACATGTAAAATAGTAAGATAAGGCTCAGAGATAAAGCAAAGATACCACCTTGAACTACATAATTGGTATAAAGGAGTCTCAGATTTAACACTTTGTATTGGATAAAACAAAGAAAAAAATACTGACCATTCTGTCACAAGATTTATAGCATTTGTGATGTTAAATCATGTTGATTGTTTAGTAAAGAACAACTTTCCTTGCCTTAGAATTAAAACAAAAGTTTGCTCTGGGTCTTTATTAAAGACTGTATTCTAAGGACAGGCCAGGGGTAAGGATTATGGGGTTGTTTTTGCCTAGTGTTATTTGGTGGAAATCTAAGACATCACAGGTTTCTATATAATGACTTTGCAAGTGTAATATGGCCCTTGTCATATGGTCTGAATGCTCCAAATCATTTTTTAATCTAATAATACCTGAAAACACTCAGCTTAAAAATGAAGATTTTGTCATTGGCAATGAATTTGAAAGAAATCTTTCAATCTAAGAGCATTTCCCCTTAGGGAAGAGAATAGGTAAAAAGCTTCCTGGTGCGGTAATATCTTAAGGATTAGTTCCTCTTTTAAGTATTATGGTACTTGGAGAGTATTTGTAATAAAATTCATTGGAACTGTGTCACATGTACAATAAATTTAAATGAATTCACTGGTGTGCTTAATGGATAACCCTCTTCTCCAATAAGAAAGGAATAGGGGGAGGGAAATTGTAGAGGAGTTCAGGGAGAGGAAGAAATTGCAATTTAAGGGTGTGGGGTAAGTCTACTCACGATGTTTATGACCTAATGAAAGTATAAGATTTATTCAGTCAGTTATTTCTGTGGACCTCTTATAATGTGAGTATCTTACTACTCCAAATGTGATTATGGAATTGAAAGATTCGCATTTATATCCCACAACACCTAAAAATAATCTACTCCTTTCTCTGATGTCCAAACAAAGAAACACTAAGATATTCTAGTTCTAAAAAATAAGAGGAGAAATCTTGTTTTATTGGAATTTCTGAGAAGTCTACTTGGTTAGGGAATTTTTAAAAATTGCTAGGGTAATAGCAAATGTGTACTTTTTCCCTTGCCCTATCGACTTTAGAACTTGGCCTTCAGAAGAAAGCAAGTGTCTTGCATGTGTGAATAGATATGCACAAAAGTGAGCAAGCACGCAAGTTAGGGTGTCAGAAAGCCCTGTATTTGACTAACGGGCTGCATTAATTCTGTATTGTAAATATTTTAACACATGATTTAAGTTTTTAGGTCTCAGCTTCCTCATAGACACGATGAGATTCATGATGTCTGCTTCATCATGTTTGTAAAATAAATAAGATGATGCATGGGAAAGCATTTAATACTCAACAATATCTGGGTATTAGTGCATCACACTGATTCCCTGTAAATTAGGTGAGTTATTGCTTGAAAAGTTTAAAAATAACTTGAGCAAGGGGGGTATATGCTTTTATTGTAATTACAAGGTTATTAATTTTATAAGCTGAGTTACTATTTTTGTTAATATGCTTTCACCATATAAGAAGAAAAGGAAATTAGCTATTTATGATGGTCTGTGAATGTAGGATGTGTGTGTGTGTGTGTGTGTGTGTGTGTGAGTGTGTGTGTGAGAGAGAGAGAAAGAGATATAGAGAGAGATAGAGAGTAATGGAGAGAGGGAGAAAGAAAGAGAGAGGAAGGGAGGGTCAAGTGAAAGAACACAGGCTCAGTGATGTTTTTCCATTCATTGCTAGCAAGCTGGAAGAATTGACTTCCATTCTTTCTTAACAGTTAGAATTTGAAGATTGTTATTCTTCTCCTTTCTCCCTTTAGACTGTTTTTATTCCAAAACTTACTTAGAGTTAAGTCCTAAGGCAGAGGCTACTTACCCACAGCCAGAGTATGACATATATCTGCTGTGCACATAGTGGTAGAACAGATGAGCTCTCCTGTATTGTTCTCTGCTAGAACAAGTTAAGACAATCACATCACAGAAAAGAAACTATCCTTTAACAGGGATTATATAATTTATTTGGAATATGGAATCCTAGGCACAATTTCTTCAGGCTGTCAAAGACAGGTTAGTAATTTTTTGCATGTTTGGTTCTAGGAGATTTAAATAAGCATAGATGTTTCATGTTGAACTTTCAAAGAAGACGGTAACATGATTTTCTCAGATGATGAGATTTTGTAAAACAGTTATATTTGCATAAATTGCCCTGTAATGGAACATAGGCAAAGTCAACAAAAGCTGTTTATTGCTTAATATTTCAGAGAATGAGAGAAAATTCAGTCTCAAAACACTTTAAAATTCAGGTCAACAAAATAACCTAAACGGCTTACCTTGGATATTAAGGCTCCACTTTCTAAGAGAAGGTCAAGGTAAATGTTTGTGATGCATATGGTATCAGTAAATTCCAAATCCTTTGAACTGTATCTGTTCCACCTCTTAGATTCTGTCAGGTAATTTCCAGTAGAATCCAGAGATACTATTTTACAATAAGGCACACATAGTAATGATCTGTTACTGCCTAGGCATTATCATGCATGTCAACTTTTCAACGCCTAAAAGAGCACTCAAACTATCTCTTGGTATTTCATGGCAATCCCTTAATACAATTATTCCAAATGATGTTATAGCTATTATTATTCAGATAAACTCTAGGGTTTCTTTTGAATTAATATTTTACCTTGTCCTAGAATATTCTCTCCTTGGAATAATTAGGTGAAGACTTAGTGACTATGATTAACTATTACTTGACTTTGAGTTTTCTAGACTTCAGGAATTAGTTGGATTTCATAGCACTGTGTACCTCTTTCCTTCACAGATATGATGGTCTATGTCATCACTTTTGTTGCTAATCATTAGTTATCCTTGAGGGAAAGGACAAATCTTGTGTCCCTATCATGGAGCATTATTCCTGGTGCATTCAATCATTACTTCTTTAAAAGAAACAGAGAAGGAGGAATGGTATTTTCCCTATTTGTCTTTTAAATAAAAGGCATGTAAAGAAAGCACTTACAATATATAATTTTGCTTGTAGGCCACAAAAATTATACCCTAGATTTGTTTGCTATAAATCTGTTGTGGTTTATTATAGAGGTCCTCACTCTGTGTTTACATTCTTCCCTCTTGCCATTCCCATGTAAAACTAATAGTGATATGGCACAAAAAGGCTGTAGTTCTAAATACCACCATCTAGGTTGAATTGGAAGATTTTCCCTTTTTTTTTCTTCTCTGTCATGGTGCATATGGAAAAGATGGGTTATTTCCCCTATGTGTTATTCAGTGGTCCCAGATAAAACACAGATATTAAATATTTAAAGATTTGATTTTAAGCCGCAAAATCATAAAGACTCTTACAGTATCATTTATTTTGGGTTT